TTTCTCACACATATTTTTAATCACTAGCTAACAACAAAAATTTCCCCCTTTTTCTTTCTCTTGTCCTCATTTGTAACCAATGCATCTTTATTTTAGAACTATTTTCTAATCATGACTTCACCATTTACCTGTATGACCATGGTCAAATGTAGCATCTTTTAAAACTATGTGTATGTGTATATGCCTGAGTGTATGTATGTTCACCACAAGTGTGTGGGTGCCTTCAAAGACCAGAAGGGAGCCATGAAATCTCCTGGAGTGACTGTCAATGTGAGCCACTGTGAACTGGAGTGACTGTCAATGTGGATGCCAGCCACTGAACCAGGGTCCTCTGCAAGAGCAGCAAGTGCTCTTAACCACAAAGCCATCTCTCCAGCCTCTTAGCCATATCTTTGGGCTTCATTTTTCTCAACTATCATATTAACATCTGCTCTATTTTCTTCACAGTGCTGAGGTTAACATCAAACAAAAGAACACACAAATTATTTGGTACAATATAGATTCCAAAAAGCTACTCACATATTTTTCTAGTTCCTTGAGAAATCAGGCTACTGTACATAAGTGATTGGCATAGGTTTTAAAATTTTGTTCTCTATATTATGTTTCAACTAGTTATATTATTTAACAACTTGTTTCTCTGGTAGCTACAGAAGCCAAAAGTTGTTTCCAGGTTTTTTTTTTATTTATATTATGCATCAACTTACTTTCTAACTCTTGAAACTTATTGCTTAGTATCTTCCTTGAGTATGTTAATACATAAAAGTTAGAACAATACATTCTGCTTTAATACTACAATACTATTACACCCCTTAAGTATATGGATCTGACCAAAAGCCATAAGCTACAAGTAATGGAGAAACATGCATTTCTTTAACTTAGGCCTTTTTCAAAAATTCATTTTTCTAGCAATACGTGAGTACTAAGTAGAGGCTTATGCTAGATGCTGAGTATAATAATAAGAGAAACAGATATTGTACTTGTTCTCATGAACAACCTGCCAATGAAGCAAATAAGGCAGATGAACATGTACATGATGGTAAGCTTTTGAAAACACCGCAAAGAAAAGGGACAGGATGCTAGGAAACGAAATGAGAAACTATCCTGAAGCAATACTTACCAAGTACTGCACACGGTGTGACCTCTGACAGCACAAAATTGAACTGCTTTTCATCCCAACTCCGGAGGAATTTAACTACTCTAACCCAGCTTCTGTACTCAACAGCCTTGTGAGATGAACACGTTACTTAAGTCTGTACCACAATTTTCTCTTGTAGAATTAGGGGAAACAATATCTTCCCCATAAGAATGATATAATAACTAAGTCAAATACTTTCATTTGATTTTGAAATTAAGCACAAAGAAAAATTAATATAATTTGACAATAAAAGTTAACTCACATGAATCTGCATTCTCCAAGTGAATTAACATTCCTAAACTACTTTGAAAAATTATCCTAGCACACAATAAGCAACATCATAAAATAGTCATTTTACATAAAAGTAAAATTGAGAAAAGGACTTAAAAAACACTTTCAGAGAAAACTGTTCATTTTTCTCATGAGATCTTAGGAGACACCTTTAAGCAGAAAGAGAAAGACAGAGATATATGGAAGAAGGGTGGGAAAGGAGGGGCAAAGGGTAAGGGAAAAAGAAAAAGGGGGCCCCAAAGGCTCCTGGGCCACAGCTTTTGACAAAGGTCAACAGCGCACTCTGCTGGACCTAAGTCTTTCCTACACACTGAACAAAAAAGCTGCTGCTGCTTGTTACATTGAATCAAATAGAATTACTATAATTAATGTATTTAATGTTATCATTCATTTAATAAATAAACACTGGAATAAGCATAAAACATGTCTGTAATAATACCTTACTCATTATAAAGATTTGCTTAAAAATAGAAGTAATAATCCTAAGAAAATGATTATGACTTCTGGAACAAAGCAGTATTAGACTATTATTATATTCCCCCAAACACAATGCTTCTCTTGACAATATTCTGATCATGTAAAGAATGATGACTTACTAGATTGCTAACACATGAATTATTCTAAGAAAGCAAATCTAAAAGCCAGGTGTGATGGTTCACACCTGAAATACCAGTTCTCAGAAGTTGGAGGCAGGCTGAAGGTCAAGGTCATTGTTAGTTTCCCTAAGAAGCTGAAGGCCAGCCTGAGACCTGTCTCAAACAAACAAAAGGACAATTACAAAGAAAAGAATAGGGGCTGGAGAGATGGCCCAGAAGTTAAAAATACTGGATCTTCCTGAGAATCCAAGTTAGATTCCCAGCACCTACATAGCAACTCACAGCTGACTGTAACTTCAGTTTCAGGGGATAGAGTGTCAAAATCCCCAATTCTAATCCTAAGCATTGCAGATAATGGTTATTTAACATGCACACTGTTGCTACTATTTCTTCTCCTATGTACCACTTAAGCTCTAAAATACTAATCTCTCTGTAATGATTTAATTCTCATACCTGCCTTGTGAGACACTCTTGTTTCTACATTTAGCAAATGGGGAACTTAGGTACTACATCAAGAGTCTGAAAAAATAATCAAGGATATATATACAAATAAGAGTTGTGGCCGGGCGTTGGTGGCGCACGCCTTTAATCCCAGCACTCGGGAGGCAGAGCCAGGCGGATCTCTGTGAGTTCGAGGCCAGCCTGGGCTACCAAGTGAGTTCCAGGAAAGGCGCAAAGCTACACAGAGACCATGTCTTGAAAAACCAAAAAGAAAAAAAAAAAAAAAAGAGTTGTGTTTAACAGGCTCTTCAAGGCAAGACAGAGAGCTGAGGTTGTATGAAGGTCAGTGCACTTGGCTAGCATTTAAGATGCTCTAGAGCATTCTGGACTCCAGGACAAAGAAAGAAATCGATTTGTTGATCAATACATTAATGGACAAAGTAACTTGGCTCTTGCGCACGCGTGCGCGCGCACACACACACACACACACACACACACACACACAGAGGGACTTTTGAAGGCCTTTAAAACAGAGATCCTACTAGTTACAATATGGATGAACCTGGAGGATGCTATACAAAGTGAAATAAATCACGAACAGGAAGAAAAACACTATATAACCTCACCTATATGAAAAACCTAAAGAAGTCAAATCTAGGGAAACAAAGAACAGAATCCCTAGGGGTGAAGAAGTGCAGTTTATGTGATACATTGGTCAGAGGACACAAAGATCCAGTCATACAGGATGAATCAAGTCTACAAATACAATGAACACCACGATGACTGTTGTTTTTACTCTACTGCATTTATCAGAACTTCATTAAGACTAGATTTCAAGTGTCCTTAAACACACAAAGATTTATAAACCATGTGAGATAGATATGGTAAATGGACTAACTTCATTAATAATTTCAGCATAAATAAAGATACCAAAACACCATGCTATATATCTGTATCAAATATACAATATTATATAAGAATTAATCATGTAGGCAGTCTATTCCAGTATCCATCCCTTTTGAGTGTGCAATGTATCTGTTATATATTTTGTGTGTGATGTACATACATGAATGTACAGGTGTGTATGGCCATAAGCGTGCATGTGGGGGCTGGAGAGGTGGCTCAGAGGTTAAGAGCACTGGCTGTTCTTCCAGAGGTCCTGAGTTCAACTCCCAGCAACCACATGGTGGCTCACAACCATCTGTAATGAGATCTGACACCCTCTTCTGGCCTGCAGATGGAACACTGTATATATAATAAATAAATAAGTTTTAAAAAAAAAGTGTGCATGTGGATTCCAGAGCAGAATGTAGGTATTTTTCTACCATGGCTTTCCACCTTATCACCTTGAGAGATTATCGCTCACTGAATTGGAAACTTGCCATCTTGGCTTGGCTGGCTGGCCAGTTAGCTCTCAGGATACTCCTGTCACTACCCCTCAAAGCTGGGATTACAGATGCAGCAGCCATAACCATTTTTTATGCAGGTCCTCATGTTTACAGAGCAAATGCTTCTGACCCACAGCCCATAGTCCATTCTTTTAACAAATAGAAAAACAAACCTCTAGTCAGGCAACTGGCATATCCAGTTGATCCTAGGAGTTCAAGGCCAACCTGAGCAACACATTAAAATCCAACCTCCCAAACACTTTGAGACAGGATTAGGGTCTCACAATGGAGCCCAAGCCAACCTCTTAATTCATGTTCTTCCTGCCTCAACCTCCCAAGAGCTTACATTATAGCCACAAAACCATGCTTTTGTTTTAATATAAGATAAGGGGCTAGAGAGACGGCTCATCCATGAAGAATGTTTGTTGCAAAAAAAAAAAAAAAAAAAAAAGCCAGTGGCACACACCTTTAATCCAAGAACTCAGAGGCAGAGGCAGGTGGATCTCTGTGAGTTCGAGGCCAGCCTGGTCTCTGTGAGTTCGAAGCCAGCCAGAGCTATTAATAATAAAATAGCTGGAGAGAGAACTCAATGGTTAAGAGCCCTGGCTGCTCTTCCTAGGACCCACATGGTGGCTCCCAACTATCTTCAACTCCAGTTCGAGTCCAGTCGTGGGGATCCTCTAATAAAAGTGAGCCTCCACATTCTCCAAGCAGTGTATGTGCACACCCACCCAATAAATAGATAGGAAATGTCATTTTTTTTTAAGTAAGAGCAATGGAAAAAGACATCTGACACTGACCTCTAGAAACCACATGTACACACACACACACACACACACACACACACACACACACACACACGGGAAAAAACTTTAAAAAGTTTTAGGAAACAACCTTAAAACAAAACAAGAACAACAAAAAGAACTTTCTTTTAGTGCTGCTCTTTAATTCACTCTATAAAGGAGAAACGGACAGAGAGAGGAAAGGAAGGACTTACCATCTCACACATTAGTGAGCACAAACAGAGTCCGACTGTTTAGGAATCTGAGCTCTTCTATTGCTCAAATTATGCTACTTTCTCTACTTTCAAAGGGATTTAGAAAACTCCCCATTTTCCTTCTTTAAACTAAGCAAAGGCAAAATACGTACATTTTGGAAGGAGGAGCTTGTCTTTCTTACAGGTGACTCAGGTTTTACTCTCTTTTCCGAAGCTACTTCTGCATCCAAATGGTGGACATCCTTTTCCAAGCAATGACGTTTTCTCATCTATAAACACAGAACCAAATGAAGGGCAGCTTGACTGTGGATTTTTCTACCTTCCCTCTTCTTCCTTCAAACGGCTATTTTTTTTTAATAATTTATTTCTTTGTATTTTATGTACATTGCTGTTTTGCCTATATGTATGCCTGTGTGAGGGTGTCAGATTCCCCTGGAACAGGAGTTATAGACAGCTGTGAGCTGCCATATGGGAGCTTGGAGTTAAACCCGGGTCCTCTGGCAGAGCAGCCAGTGCTCTTAACCGCTGAGCCATCTCTCCAGCTCCTCAAGGCTATTTCTAATTAGTAGTAATAAAAAATCTTAAAAAAAAAAAAAAGAAACCTCATAACACCATTTAAGTAAAAAAGAACATATAGTAACAATCCCTGGGTCCTAATCAAGTATCAACATTTAAAAATTACAAAATTACAGTGATCTTCTTATAAAATTGTCACACCATGTAGATAACAAATTCAGCATTACAGCAAAGCCAAGCCACATACCTAATTGGAAAATATATTAATAATTAGGCCACATTCTAGATTCCAGCTTCATTCATAATTGGTACTTTTATAAAAATAAGCTAGTTTAGAAAAACAAGGTTTAATTCTAGAAATTGTTGGTAGACACTTAAACTATGTAAAACTAGAATATAAGCAATTTAAGCATATCCATCCATCTGAAAGTACTCAATTATTTACATACATGTGACATGTTAATTAGTAATCCCTCCTTTATATTTATAACTAAGCATATTAAATTCCCAATCTCCCTATCTCTGTAGCATACATTTCAAGAAGATTATGTTCCTCTACAAAAAGCATATTCCATAGGAAGTATCTGGCAGTCAGGCCTTTAAGTAAGTTTTACTTTAAGTAAGTTTTAGAGACATGCATGTCTTATCATGAAGTGATCTTAAAAACTCAGTGAGGAGCCAGGCACGTGGGTGCTACATACTTGCAATCTCAGCTATGCAGAAAGCCAAGAAAGGATCACAGGTCTAACACCAGTCTGGGCAACTCAGCAAGGTCTTGTCTCAAAATAAGTGAGCGGACGGTAAGCTCAGTGGGAAACAGTATTTGCTTAGCATGTTGGAGGACCTGGATTCAATACCTGTGCATGTACAAACGCCAAAACTCCACTAAAACAACATTAAACCTCAGTAAATAAGAGTACACTTTGTCATTATACTTACACTACAATACCAAAATTATCTACAGTGTGAGAATTCCTATTAAAGGGATTTGAACAAAAGAAAATGCTATTAAGTAAAAAGCATTGAAGAGTTTTAAAAGTACAGTAATGGGGCTGGAGAGATGGCTTAGCAGTTAAGAGCACTTTTGCTCTTGCAGAGGACCCAGGTTCAGTTCCCAGCACCCACATGGTGGTTCACAAGCATCTATAACTCCAGTTCCAGGGGATCCAATAACATCTTCTGACCTCTGCTGGCACCAAGAATGCATGTGGTGCACATACACACATGCAGGCAAAACATTCACCCACATAAATAAATAAAATTAAAAAGCCAAACTAAAATAAATGATTAAGTACAATATTCTTCAACACCATAGATACTAAAGCTGTAACAATATAAAACAATATGGCCCCTGTACAAGAATGGCACAAAGAGCCACAAAGCACTCTGCATTTTTAACACTCTCACATGCAAGATCTAGTCTAATAAAAAAAAAAATCAGATGAGAAAGCAGAAAATCAGCTGTTTGGGAAAAGAAGTCCAGCAGGGTGGGGAAAATGGGAGGGTGTCACTATGTTCAAAACACATAATACCCATGCATAAAAATGTCATCACGAAAGCTAGTATTTTATGGAATGAATTATATTAATTTTGAAAATTAATAATTCTAAAAAATTATTGCTCCTATATGTTTAGGATATGCCTTAGGTAAATATCAAACTCTCCATGCCTAAGAAAACCCCATGCAGTTGCTTTATGTTGGTGTGAACAACTGCTCCACGAACAACCTCCTCTGCAGCAAGGAACAACAAAGGAAAATGACCACTTACCTTGTAACTAGGACACAATTAACTATTCTCCACCAGTGCCACCAGCTTCCTGGTCAGCTATCCCTAACTACATAACTAGATTGTTTTAACAGTTAATAAACTGCTCACCTGCTGTGCAGTTTCCAAGGGTCGGATTCTTTTCTTCTCTACTTGAAAATCATCATCTTCATCTCTCTGTACGGATGCCAGTTTCTTGGCAGATAACTTTGCAGCCAGAGTATTTTTTTCAGGAGAGTCTTATATAAAAAGTAATTTTACAATAAATATGATAAATTTATAATAAAAATATTATAATTTAATCTATGCAATATTTTTGAAGGAGAAAACCAAGATTTAAGACATTACTAGAAATTTTATAACAGTTTAAAATCTATGATTTTTTTTTTCTATTGGCTGATTGATTGGGCACTGTCTCATTATGTAGCCCTGGCTGGCCTGGAACTCCCTATGTAGACCAGACTAGCCTCAAAATCAAAGAAATCCACTTGCCTCTGCCTCTGAAATTAAAAATATGCACCAAGACATGCAACAAGTTATTTTCTTGAAAACTTTTATCACCCCATTTATTTTTACCATAAATACAAAAAGCATTTCAAGAAACATACATTTAACAGGAAACACCCAATTTATTGTTCTCATAGACTCATGTTTTATAGGCTATACTCTATTATGCAGTTGCCTGGCATATGAGAAGCTGTAGGTTCAATCTCTAACACAAAGGATGCTGACAAAATATGCAAATTGAGTCCCTCAAGAATCAATCAATGTTATTTCATTTCTATGAAAACCTTAATGTTCCTTTCCTACTGGGCTTCATCATATGCTTTAGGCTAAAAATAGTGTTCACAGAATAAAATTCATATAATGTCTTCATTTCACAACCCTGAAAACCATCAAAAAAACCTCTTAACTCCTAAATTACAAAATTATTCCTATCTTACCAAAGTGAATTTTAAAGAATGCCCACTATTACTAAGTATAATTTGCAGAACTTAGGTGCAACAGATTTGCTATTTTACTTCAAAATCCTTAAGGATAATTTCAGGACTGACAAACACAACATTCTGCTTTCTGGAAACATGGCAAACACATTTCCTTCTCCCTAGTGTCCATAACACTTTTTTTTTTTTTTTTTTTCACTATCCTACCCTCCTGTTTCCTGTGGACCTTTTCTTAAAGGCACCTCCATCCTCGGCTCCTCTACACGTCCTCTCCACTCCTGTGGCCTGAATCCCTTTAGTAGACACTTCTTACACCGAGTCCACACAATGACCAGAGAGCATGAAAATCAATGAAACTGAAACAATGTCTCGACAGGAAAGGTTTACAAACCACCCACTCACAGAAGGATCTACAGAAGCCGGTACAAGTGTGAGCCTACAAACACAAAAGGGAATCCATGCCATACTGTGGTGTGTGTTTAATGGGAGAATGTGTGTTCATGCATGTGTGCATACACAAACATGCATGTGCACATACGTGACATTCAGGGAAGCCAGAGGTCAACTGCAGGTCTCTACCTCAATCGCTTCCCCACTTTTTTTTTTTCTTCATACAGTGTCCCTCACGGAACCTGGAGCTCACTGGTGAACTGATGAACAACCGAGCTCCAGGGATCCTTTCACCTCCTCAATGCTGGAGTTAGATGCACACCATTAACTCGGATTTTTTAAAGACTTGTTCTACTGTTTTCAGTTGTATACATGCACATGAACGTAGGTGCCCACCAAGGATATGAGTGCTGAGAACTGAACTCTGGTCTCCTGGAAGAGCGGCACTGGCTCCTGACCTCTGAACCACCTCCCAGGCCCACACTCAGGATTTTTAAGACAGAAAAACCGACTCAGATCCTCATGCTTGCAGTCAACATTTTAACAAATGCTCTTCCCGGACCCAGAGTCGGAACCGTTCTTAAAAAAATAATGGTTAATAGTTCAACAATAGGGATCAAAGACCCCAAACCTCCACCATCCAGAAGCCTTTCCCCATAAAAAAACAAAGCCATTAAAAAACAAAAATTTTAAAGATGAAAAGTTTTTTTTATATGCCATAATATGATTTTTTATTGTCCTGTACTGAGGTTATTCTTACTTAGTACATCGTAGATTAATTTTCTAAACTACATTATTGTTTTTTGGTATAGTTCCTAGTCTTTTTTTTTTAAGATTTCATTTACTTAAATGTTATGAGTGTTTTGTCTACATATATGTATATACACCACACACATGCAGTGCCTGTAGAGGCCAGAAGAGGGCATGGGATTCCCTTGAACTGGAGTTACACAAAATTTTGAGTCACCATGTGGATGCTGGGATTCAAACTTAGGTCCTCAGTGGCCAGCTCTCCAGCTCCTTATCTTCTATTCTCTACAGTTTAGGAGTTTACAAGGAGTTTGTCAAAGAGGTTAAATTATTAAGGCATATAACCTAAAAAGAAGTGAGATATCTCCAAACTATGTGAAGAGAGAAAGGGTGGGGTAAACGAGAGGGTCGACTCTCAGAAATCAGCACAGAGAAAACTATTAACAGGCAATTCACTACAGACGTCATTCCTAAGAGCCCATAAACGTGTAAAATGTTCACTTCTCGTCATACTATCAACTCCAACTCCAAGCTGGGGCTGGGGCTGGCCCTAGGCTCAATCCATAGCACTGTAAACAAGAGGTTAAAGTACAGTATCAGTGAGAACACCAAACATGCAAGAATGGTTCAAATTTAAGAAAACTGGAAACATCAAGAGGTAAGTGTTGAAAATCTCCACTCACAAGCACACCCCTAATGTTTTAAGTTTCATTCCACACCATCTCAATAAAGCTAACACGGCAACCCAATGAGAAACATGAATTTTTTTTGTTTCCCGTCATATAAAAAGATATGTTTATACTGTACCTACTGTAGCTATTAACTATGTAATATTAATATCTAAAAAAAAAAAAGGTAACTTAATTTTAAAATTCTTTATTTCTAAAAATACCTTATTGCGGGGGGAAAAAAATCTAACAACCATGCTTTTAGAAAAAAAATAGCATGAACTGTGGAATATTCTTTTACACTGTGAATATATGCGCCACTGTGATTGATTTAATAAAGAAGCTGACTGGCCAGTAGCTGGACAGGATAAGGTTAGGCGGGAAAACCAGACTAAGAACACTGGGAAGAAGAACACTGGCAGAGCGAGAGAGATTGCCTGGAGATGCAGGAGAGCAAGAAATGCTGGAGGACAGATAAAGCCATGAGCCACATGGCAATACAGATACAATACAGATAGAAATGGGTTAATTTAAGTATAGGAACTAGTTAGTAATAAGCCTGAGCTATTAGCAGAGCATTTATAATTTATATTAAATCTCTGTACCAGTTATTTGGGAACTGGAGAGTGGGAAAGAAAAGTCCACCTACAAGCAATAAGTTTGTTAAATTAGGAGTTGCCACAGACTTTTGACTTAAAAAAAATACAGCTGGGTGGTGGTGGTGTGCACCTTTAATCCCAAAACTTGGGAGGCAGAGGCAGGCAGATCTCTGTGAGTTCAAAGGCAGCCTGGGGTACAGAGTTCCAAGGCTGGGGAACAGTGAGTTCCAAGAAAGGCTCCAAAGCTACACAGAGAAACCCTGCCTCGAAAAACCAAAAAAAAAAAAAAAAAAAACCCACAAAGTACATCAACGATGACAGAAGACTAAGATAATTCATTAATTAAAGTGAGAACACAAAAAAGTCCAAGTTTTTTGCTTTTTTTTTTGAGACACGGTTTCTCTTGTGTAGTTTTGGTACCTGTCTTGGATCTAGCTCTGTAGACCGGGCTGGCCTTGAACTCATAGAGATCCGCCTGGTTCTGCCTCCCCAGTGCTGGGATTAAAGGCGTGCACCACCACCGCCGCCGCCACCACCACCACCCCACCCTACATCCCACCACCACCCCACACCCCACCACCCGGCAAAATTTCAAGTTTTTGAGCAGTCAATGCTATGGTAAAATTATTCCATTAGGGCACATTGTTCAGTTCAAAGCACATTCTTTGACATGCATGAAGCTTAAAGTTCCATAACCAACACGGAAAATAAATAAACATAATTTAAAGAATTTCAAAGAGGTTCAGTGAGTAAATGCACATGTGCTCAAGACCAGTGACCTGCGCTAGGACCCACATGGTGGAAGGAGAGAACTGACACCAGCAAGTGGTCCTCTGACACCACACGAGTGCTGTGGCACACATACCCATTCACATTCACATTCACATTCACACACACACACACACACACACACACACACACACACACACACTAGAAAGATAAATATAATTAAAGTCCAGTCCTAGGGCTTTTGAGGCTGTCAGGAATACACAGGGAACACAGACACACACTGCAGACAAAATACTCATACATTCAAAATTGTGGGGGGCCTGCCCCCACTTTTTCTCCCAGGGTGCTCTTGAGCAGGGAGAAATAAGGAATATGTAGATAGAAGGACAGAGAGAGAGAGAGACAGCTAGAAAATGTAGTGGGTAGCCATTCCAACCTTGGAAGTTCCAACCCCCACTGAGGCTTCGGTAACTGTCACGCCTTCAAGTCGGGGCCAAGAGAGGACCCGAGATCCAGATGTGCCAGCGCTCTTGGTTCCTGAACCCTGGACACTGGAGGTAGACCAAGCAGAGTTCTCCAGAGAACACAGCTGGACCGCTACACCTTGTCCAGACCCTGTAACCTATCCCTTCACTTGTAAGTCACCCCACAAAATAAACCTCCCTTTTAACTATGTGGAGTGGCCTTAATAATTTCACTAATAAGAAAACACAGGATAGGCTCAGGAGGGTCTGCGTCAAAACCCACCAGCCCCTTCTGTCTTTACTAAAGGGCTTTTAAAGGAATGCAAAGGGGTAGAGCAAAAGACCTCCCCCACCACAGCCAAGCTTATTAGACCATCCTAGGCACCTGGTGACCCTGCACGTGGTCCAGCCATCCCCAAATGCAGCCCTGCTGGGTAAAGCAAGCTCAGATCTCACTAGGAAGCCTTTGTGGGCTCCCACACAAAATAAATAAATAAATTTCTAAAACAGGAATTTCAGAAAAATTAATCATACTAGCTAAATTTATCTGAATTAAGCTTCAGAGAGGTAATAACTAAGGAAGGATCCCCTACAGATTCCAACCGACACAAGCAGAAGACAATTTACCTCGACAGGGTGACGAAGTCCCATTTCTTTCAGACAGCTTGCTTGGACTACTGAAATGAGGTGACGTGCCCGTGCTCATGTCACTGTGAGTAAAATTCTTTGAATGGCATGTGCAACAACATGATGATGGCACCTCAGGCTTTTTATTTAAGCCCTCATCCACTGGCTTTCCTAGAAAAAAAAAAAACACCTCTATTTACCATAAAACTAATAAATAGTAATTTTCTTTTCAGATACAGTAAGCAACCACCTCAGTTCACCAAGGATTAGAAGTTTCCCAGGTTACAAGATTAAATTAAGAGAAACAATCTATATAAACATTATCGACAATATCGAATCAGGACAGAAGAGAAAACTATGCCCGCAGTGTGTTCAGAAATGTTATCAATGTATAAACTATTAAAACAAAATAATGAAGATTAATAATGTAATTAAAAGTACAACCACTTTTGTATTTATTTATATTCACATTTTCTTTCAAAATCAAGCAAAAGGGGCAGAAACAAAGATGAAAAGTATATGCTTCATTATTGCTATTTCCCTAAAGGAAGAATTTGAAATTTCAGTATCTAAAATACTAAAGATAAGGATTGCCACAGTTCACATTATCCTTATTTTTTTTTTCTTTTTTTTTGAGACAGGGTCTTTCTAACAAAGCCCTAGCTGTCATAGAACTCACTTAAGTAGAACAGGCTGACCTTGAACTCACAGAGATACACTTGCCTCTGCCCCTGAGTGCTGGGATTAAAGATGTGAACCACCATACCCAGCCTCACATTATACTTCTATTTCAAATAGAAATATTCAGGCTTGGTGAGGTGGCCCACACCTTTAGTCCCAGCACTCGGGAGGTAGAGGCAGGTGGAACTCTGGGTTCAAGGCCAGCCTGGTCTACAGAATGAGTTCCAGGACAGCCAGGCCTACACAGGGAAACGCTGTCTCAAAAACAAACAAGCAAACAAAAGAATCAAATCAAATAGAAACATTCTACCACCTACACATTCACCTACACATTCTGATACAAGTATCAAAGCACATTTTAAGACAATATTCAAACCCAATGAAAAGGTAATTAAGCCAGGCGGTGGTGGCGCACGCCTTTAATCCCAGCACTCGGGAGGCAGAGCCAGGCGGATCTCTGTGAGTTCGAGGCCAGCCTGGGCTACCAAGTGAGTTCCAGGAAAGGCGCAAAGCTACACAGAGAAACCCTGTCTCGAAAAACCAAAAAAAAAAAGTAATTAAGATACCTAAATATAATTTTAAAATTACAATATGGGGGCTGAAGACATGGCTTAGCAGTTAAGAGCATTTGCTGCTCTTTCAGGGGATCCCAGTTCAGTTCCCCACACCCACACAGCAACTCACAACCATCTGCAACTCCAGTTCCAGATGGCCCAATGATTTCATCAAGCACCAGACATGCGTGTGGTATATAGACATGCAAGAAAATATACTCACACACATGAAATAAAAAAAGATACTTTTTAATTTATGCCCACGTGATATATAATTACAGAACTCATATACTTTTTAAAAAGCTAATCATATACAAGCATGGTCATGCATACCTGTAATCCCAGCATTCGGGAGGCTAAGGCAGGAGGACCTTGAGCTGAAAGCCAGCCCAGACTATATAGCAAAACCCTGCCTCAGGAGAAAAAAAAAAAAGGCAAACATAAAGGCATACTATATACATGTATAAAAATCTCATAACGAAACCCATTGTTTATAACTAGCATATAATAATAATAATAATAATAATAATAATAATAGAAAAAGGAACTGGGAGTGGTGGTGCATGCCTATAATCCCAGCACTTGGGAGGTAGAGGCAGGTGGATCTCTGTGAGTTCAAGACCATCCTGGTCTACAGAGTGAGTTCCAGAACAGCCAGGGCTACACAAAGGAACCCTGTCTCGAGAAACCAAAAAAAAAAAAAGAAAAGAAAGAAAGAAATAAAATGAAAACAAACTAAATGTTTTTTACATTGTTTACTCATTTGCAACACAAAAACATCTCCCAGATAACTGTCATTAAATTTCAATTATTAACTAAAAATGTCACTTTCCCCCAAAGAATGACACCAATGATAATCAAAATGGAAAATCAAAAGATCACAAAACGTTTTCTTTTTAACGGTCTTTATTTACATTTATTTTACCATTCGCCCGTGTTAATGTGGGGAAGCGGGTACACATGCCATGGGATGGTGTGGAGAACAGAGGACAATCTGCAGGAGTCAGCTTTCTCCCTCTACCCTGTAGTTCCAGGGATGAAACTCAGGTCTCATCAGAACTGGTAGTGAGCACCCTGACTACTGAGCCATCTTGCCCATCCCTTGTTACCACATTCTACCAGTAACATAAACATTTCTTTTTTATTACATTTGTTTATGTATATGTGTGTACATGCCACGGTGTGCATGTGGAGGTCAGAAGATAACTTGCAGGAGTCAGTTCTCTTTTCCCACCAGGTGGGTTCTAGGGATTGAAAGCAGGTCACCAGGCTTAGAGGTCAGCCCAAAAATTTCCTTTATTAATGCATCTATACACATATACACACCTGTGACTAACTTCACATTCTTCTACTACTTTAGGTCAGACTTATCTATTTATATACCTGAAAAATATTCAAGACTCTATTTCAGATTGTTATTAAGATTACAAAGTCTTGGGGATGGAAAGATGGTCGAGGTTAGGAGCATTTCCCGCTCTCCCGGAGAACCCAAGTTCAGTTTCCAGCATAACCATGGGGAAGTCCACAACCCCGTCACTCTAGCTCCAGGTCCTCTAACACTCTCTCTTGCCCTCTGTGAGCACCTTACATAAACCTAGACACACATAATTGAAAATAAAAATAAATCTTTTAAAAAATTAAAGTTTTTCATCAAGTAAATATTAATAGCAATTTTGTGTTTACCCAGACGATATCATACTTTAATAAAAAACAATCATACACAAGCTTATCAGTAAATACATGAAACAATTACAAAAAGATTTTACCTCGAAACCTGTTTTTACAAAAAGAAACAGAAATTAAAGATGACCTGTAGGAGTTTACATTTGAGTCCAGGACTCACCGTTGGAAAGGGTGCATTGGGAGCCAGTACCCCAGTATCTTTTGTTATATGGGCATATACATTTTTATTTATTTATTGGAAGTTCGAAGTACTGAATCCTGGCCCTTGCACATGCTAGGAAAGTGTTGTATCACTGAACTACACCCCTCGCCCAGGACTTGAGTTTGGTTTTTTAAGACAGATCCCAGGCTTCCTTTAAGCTCCTGACTCTCTGGCCTCAGCTTCCTGAGTGCTAGGGATGCAGGGGTGCATGCTCAATCCTAGCCAAATTTATTTTTTGAGACAAGGTCTCATTGTGCAGCTCTGGCAACAATCAACGTAATGGGACAGAACAGAAATGCATGCAATCGTGATTATGATAGGCGTCTATTTATCTGGTGTTCAAACGAGCAGAGCAACAAGTATCTGTTGTTTACCCATTTATTTAGAGGTAGGGTCTTGCTATGTAGCCCAGGCTGGCCTTTTGTTGTTGTAGTTGTTTTTTGTTTCTTTCTTTATTTTTTTGAGTAAAACCAAAACTTATTCTAAGCCACAGTCATCCTAGGGTCCCCCCTGCCACATAGCCTTCCCGGTTCTGTGGGTTGTAGCCCAGGCTGGCCTTTAACTTCAACCTCCGAAGTACTAGGCTTACTGGCATGTACCACTACTCCAGTTTTATATGTTTTCTTCTTCATATAGTCCATATTTTAATGTTATAAAAGTCAGATAAGGGAGCTGGAGAGATGGCTCATCAGTTAAGAGCACTGGCTGCCCTTCCAGAGGACCCAGGTTCAATTCCCAGCATCCACATGGTAGCCCACAACTGTCTGTAACTCCAGTTTCAGGGAATCTGACACCATCACACAAATGCACATAAAATAACAAAAAGTCAGATGAGCAAATATATTCAAGGATATATTCAAGCAATTAGTCTATGCATCAGCACCATTGGGGCTCTAGCTCCTATTTCTTAGATACAGAAAATGATCATCTCATCATTTTCATAAGAACTCTAAACTTCTAAAATATTCACATACACTCTGCATGACCAAGTAAAAGGACTAAATTGTGTTAATATTATTTAAAAATTAATTTTGATGTATTCAACTTCTTTCAGAAGACTTGTAACGTTTTGTTTTATTTTGGGACGGGGTTGCTGTGTAGCCTTGGCTGACCTGAAACTTGTATATAGACCAGACTGGCCTTGAACCTACAGCAATCTTCTTGCCTTTGGCTCCTGAATGCTGGAATTATACATGTACACACTACCATGCCTGGCACAGGTGATACAACTTGAAGAAATGTCTTGACAGAGATTATTTAAATCAGTTAGAACAACGTTTGAGCCAGTCTAGATACAGTGTACTATATTACCTGGGGCTGGTCTAATTGTTCAGCAGGGCAAGGCACACTTGTCACTGAGCCTGATGACCAGAGTTCAGTACGCCAGACCCATACGGTGGCAGGAGAGAAGTGATTCCTGCAACCTGTCCTCTGACGGCCATATCATAGCACATGTGCCCACACATATATGCACACACAAAATAAACATAATAATTTTTTATGAGAACTACTTACCAATATGAGATTGTTGCCATGCTAATGCAGAACAAAGTAAGGCTAAACTTTTTCCACTCCCTGTGGGGCTCTCCAACAAACAATGCTGACTACTGTTTAGCCCTCTGACAATCTGTAGACAAAGAGATCATTTTTAAAAAAAGAAAACAATAATCGATTACTTATCAGCTCTCTCTCCATCGAACAGCAACATGAACAGAATAGCACAGAAGGGTGAGGAAGCACCCCAGGAGACAGTAACAGCATGAGGAAGAACCAAATTCTGTTAACCTAGACTTTACTCCTTGACTTCTCCCTCACAGTCTGCTGGTTTTATGAGTACATCAAACACACACAAAAAAAAAAATTAAATAAGCAACTTATATTTAATTATACAGCCACAAATTGCTTCTATAAAACTGTAATATGTGCTGGAGAGAAGCTCAGCAGTTAGGGGCAGATGTTGCTCTTGCAGAAGATCCAGGTTCAATTCCCATTCACATGTGGCAGCTTACAATTGCCTCTAACTCCAGTTCCAGGAGATCCAATGCCCTATTCTGGCCTCCTCAGGCCTCAGGCACACATGAGGTACACAGACATACCTGCAGGCAAAACATTCATACACATAAAAGTAATCAAAAAAACAAAGAAAAAAAAAGGACCGTAATACACTAATACCTATGCATATGTATGAGAAAAAAACTTAGTGAGCAATACCACTAATGGAAAGACTAATTGTTATAACCTATCATCTCCCCCATCTATGACCTATAGGAATGCATGAAGGGACTGGTCCTGTGGATCAAAAATTGCAGGATCTCCATGAGTTGGGGCAACAGCAAGATATCCGAGAGTCCAGTGATGATTGTGCACCAGAGGCTTTGAACTAGAAGACTCATTACAATGAGCATTTTGTCAGTGGGGCTGATTGGACAAAAGGGTATACTGCATGACACACCACAGCTCTCAATGCAACAAGGATGAATGAAGAAGTATTGGAAAGAGTGAGGTGGAGGGTTTTTGTTTGTTTGTTTTGTTTTGGATTGATTTGGGGGGGAAGGGGGGGTTGGGGTACATGATGTGAAATTCCCAAAGAATCAATAAAAAATGTTAGAAAAAAAAATCAAAAATGTAAAATGAAGATGTCCAAGTCCACTAAGTCCATTGCTAAGTACACACCCTAAACCCTTCCTACGTGAACATAAGAAATAGGTGTAAGACAGTTCATAGTAGCATTTTTTGCTAATTCCAAGAGATTATGAGCAACCTAAATACCACCAGCAGGAAAATGGACAGATTATGCTAGCCATACAATAAAATGCCATACTGGAATTAAAATGATTTAACAACCAATGAAGACATATCTTAAATATAATGTTCCAATGGGGAAAAAAAAAAAACAATTGTTAGGGATACAGCTCAGGAGAAGAGTACTTGCCTAGCATCATGAAGCTCTGTGATCACCCTACCACCACTATTCTACCTTCATTTCTGTGGCTGTGATATAATACTTTGACAAAAAACAACATGGGGGAAAGGGGTTTATATTCTGTGTACAATTCCAGGTTATAGTCCATCAGACAGGGAAGTCACCATGGTAAGGGCTTACATCCATAGTCAAGAGCAGAGAAATGAATGCACACATTCGTTTCCTTGTGCTGAGGTCTAGTTTTCTACCCTTCACAGTTCAGGACCCCCTGTCTAAGGAATGGTGCTGCCCACAGTGGCCTGGGTCTTCTCACATCAGTTAAGACAATCCCCTACAGGGGTAGGAGAGATGGCTCGTCAATTAAGAACTCCAGCTGTTCTTACAGAGGGCCTGGGTTGAATTCCCAGCACACAGCATGGAAGCTCACAACCATATGTAACTCCATTTCCAGGTACCCAGTACCTTTTTCTGGACACCTCAAACACCAGGCATGTACATGGTGCACATATATACATACAGGCAAACTAACACACACACACACACACACACACACACACACACACACACACACACACTGAAAAAAAAAGATAATCTCTCACAGACATGCCCACAAACCCAAGGTAGACAATTCTTGATTGAGATTCTTTCCTGGATGATTCTAAGTTGTCAAGCTGATGATAACTATCACAATCATCAAAAAAAAAAAAAATATGGCCGGGCGGTGGTGGCGCATACCTTTAATCCCAGCACTCAGGAGGCAGAGACAGTTAGATCTCTGTGAGTTCAAGCCCAGGCTGCTACAGAGTGAGTTCCAGAAAGGCACCAAAACTGCACAGAGAAAGCCTGTCTCCAAAAACCAAAAAAAAAAAAGTACAATATTTCATTCACAAAGCTTAAACATATGTAAAATACTCTACATTGTTAAGGATAAGTACACTTGAAATTATTCAGAAAAACAAAAACTGCATCCATACTAAACATGCAGGCTTATTATTCCCTAAATATCTAATACATAGTTGTGAATATCACAATTATTTTCATAGCATTTATATCAAGCATGGTAAGCAATCTGGAGATGATTTAAAAGTCCATGGGAAACTTACTTGTGGACTATCTACAAATAGTGCACCATTTTACATAAAGGAATTGCACATCTACAGATTTTGTTATCCAAGGTGGGTCTTAGAACCATTCACCAAAATACACTGAGTGTAAAGACCGTCAGCTGTACAAGTGTGTGGACCAGAGTCTGGATCCCTAGAAGGCATCTAACAAGCTCTGTTTGAGGTCCACAGACCCAAACCCCAGCACTACAGTGGGCAGAGATAGGAGGAGGTAGAGGGCTTGCAGACTGCCAGCCCAGCACTACAGTGGGCAGAGATAGGAGGAGGTAGAGGG